GCTGCTTGTTGGTTTCTGACTGTTCAGCAGCACAGCACCAAAATAATCACACAGAAATTATACTATTTGCAATACTGTTTGGCCAATAGCTTAAGCGTATTTCTGGCTAACTTTTATCCTAAACTAATCCATCCAGTGTCTGTCTCCGGCGGGGCTCCATGGCTTCTCCCTGACTCTGTCTCCTTTCTCCCATCTTTCAGTTTAGTTTTCCCTGCCTATCTAAGGTCTGCCCTATCAACAGGCCAAGAAAATTTCTTTATTCACTAATGATATTTACAGCATACAGAGGAAAAAACCATATAAGAAGATGGAGAAGAAGAACTCATAAACCTTACAAACAGGTCTCAGGAATCATAGAAAACTTTTTACAGCTTCAAATCTGTATTTTATGAAATGAATTATTAAACATACCAAATAAATATTGATTTTAGGAAATAAAAGATGGCCAAAAATATATTTCATAAGATTGTATTCAACTGGGAAAAATTAATTTTAATATCTCAAATCCTTTTATATAAACAAGAAATGCATTTGTGATTCTTAGAGAAAAAAATCTATACACAATCCCTTAATGTAACTAGCTGGCAAGACACAGTATGGAATATGAGACATGGGAGAATATGGCCAGTCAGAAACAGTCGTATGTAATTAAGTAGCCATGGCACTTTGAAATATTAAGGCACACCTTGAAAAGACAGTTCTAAGAATAGAGGGGAAAGAAACAACAAATAGAAATTCAAATTCAAATAATGGTTAATGTAGAGAACCAAGCAGGGAGTTTAAAGAAGCCTAAGAATTGGTTTACAGTGATACTGTGGCTACTGGGAGGAAAAACAAGATTTTAATGATATTCTAAATTATCCCTCCCTAAATAAAGCTAAAGTGATAAGTCAAATAGAATTAAATCCACCAAAAATAAGCACAAAAAATTTGTGTGCTTTGCTTCCTGAGTGTTCTGACCTGGCATTTGGATGGTTAGCACTTTCAGATGACACCCATAAAGAAGTCTGCCCATTTTATAAATGTCAGAAGGAGCCTAGATACCCAGGGAATACAACCACATTCTTTTGAAAATCTAATGTTATAAATAGCATCTAATTTCTTCTTTCATAGTGTGTTTGCTATAGTTCACTCAGTAAATCTAACCCACAGAGAAGATTACAAGAGGGTTTGGATCCACCTTACAAAATGCCTGTGACAGTCTACCCATAGAACCCCTGTATTTATCTTGTGTGCAAAATACATTTACCTCCTACTAATGCTCCTCAAATTGTGACCCTATTATGTGTACACTCAAAGCACAGAATTTCGTTATGTAAAACAGGCCCCAATGTAAAAGAGTCCCCTTATGTGAAAGCCTTAGGTATAACTTCTTTTTAACTATATCTTTTCTTAAAAGTTAGAAACAAAAGAGTTCTCTACTTCAAATCCAAACAGCAACAGTGGGACCAGAATAATACATACAGTGAACATATTTTTGTTCATAAGTGGGAAAAAGGATGACATTTTTCCAGATCATAATAATTCTGAAATCTTAATGGAGAAACATTGAAAGTTCTTTGACAAGTTCTGAATGTTAGAATATTATTATCCCCAATCTTATCTTCTGCCCTCTATAAATTTCCTCTTCTCTGTGTTAATCTTCACTGTTTCAGATAAGGTAGTCAAATTTTGAAGCCAATACTCTTAGATTGATTTAGGGGATCTCAATATCTCATCTCTCTCTCTCTCTCTCTCTCTCTCTCTCTCTCTATATATATATATATATATATATATATATATATATATATATATATATTTTGGGGGGAGGGGGCTTGAGACATGGTTTCTCTGTGTAGCTTTGGTGCCTGTCCTAGAACTAGCTCTTGTAGACCAGACTGGCCTCAAACTCACAGAGCTACATCTGTCTCTGCCTCTCGAGTCCTGGGATTAAAGATGTACACCACCACAGCCTGGCTCAATGTACCTTCCAATTCTGGATTATCTTTGACATTATTTCTGTATATGCATATGCATATATATATCCTGCATGCATATGTATACTAATGATAGTATAATATATATAGATATAACACACACACATTTATACACTATTGATAGTGATTTCTATGAAGACATTGAAGAGCATAAGGGGAAAATGAAAACTACTTCTCAGTAGATATGAAGTTGGAAATGTATCTGATGAGCTTGGATTCCCTCATGTCAATGACAAGGCTAGGAAATTCCTTTGGTACCTATATTTTAAATTTGAAGACTGCTACCTGAAGAACCCCTTTGTAGTTCAGACCCTACAAAAAGACAACGACTGAAGTTAGAAATGCACCATACAGATATTCCAAAGAGAGCAGGGAATCATTGGGAACTTTTTAGAACCCATTTATTGTTTCTGAAGAATAAAGTCAAAACTCTACAGTCCTCTAGTTTTCAAGAAAGGGTGCTTTTGCTTGATTGTTTTATTTTTAGTAAACAAATAAAAACATATACATCCAAGAAACAAAACTAACCAATCAGAATTTTGGAGCTTAATGAAATGATGCCATCAAATTGAATAGATCACCTAGAAAAATACATTTGGAGCATCTCTGTGAAGCTGTTTCCAGAGGCAGGAAGTCACATTGGGAATGTGGCCTGGAGTCTTAAACCAGGCAAAAAAAAAAAAAGAAAAGAAAAGAAAGAGGAGGAGGAGAAGGAGGAAGAGGAGAAAGAGGAGGAAGAGGAAGAGAAGAAGAAAAAGAGGAAGAGGAAGCAGAAGAAGAAGAAGAAGAAGAAGAAGAAGAAGAAGAAGAAGAAGAAGAAGAAAGCTAAATACTGCTGTTTTCTCCCCATGTGAAGTGATTGGATACAGTGTTTAACAGTTAGCATCATCACATGGCTGCCATTCCATATCCCCTGCTTTAGTCAAGTATTTTGTCCCAGCAATGAGAAAGGCATCTATTACAAAGGTTCATATAAATGAAAGTGTTTATGATCATGAGAATTATTGTAGACGCCAACCTTGAAATGGTTGTCTAATCACAAAACATCTCTGAGCATCAATGTCCCTCCTATTAAAAGGGAAAAATATTTCACTTGACAATTCTGTTTGTAAAGAGGATCATGTGGGGAAAATGCATTTAGAAATGTGTAAGACATTATTTGCATCATCTTTAAAAGTGAAATGAAATACGTGAAATTAGCAAAAATGAGTTTCCACAAGTTACCAGTTTTTAAAGGAGATAACCATGAAGGTTAGTGAAATCAGGTATGTGAATTTTCTGGGGAGATCAGAAATTGATCTCCTTTCATAGTAACAACTGATTGGAATTTGTCTTGCTATTTAAAACATTTACCCTGGTATTTTGTATTTTCTTGCATAACGGACGGGTAAAAGAAGAATAGAGGGAGAAGAGTCACCAAATAAATGAAGTAGAAGGCATGTGTACTCTTGAGACATGTTAGGATGGGGCCTCTTGGTAAGGATGGAACCAATATCTCCCCGTGCCCTCTTAAGAGCTGCCCCTTAGCCGGATGAAGGGCAAGAAACCTTATTCTCCAGGCTTTCATGATCTTCCTCCCCTCAGATTTAGTTTGTATCTTCCATAAGTAATTATGATCCAAATACTGAAAAGACAATTTAAATGAAAACCTAGAAAAAATACTTGTGAAATAAAGCAGAATTAAACATGTCTTATGAAGATTCATTTTATATAAATTCCTCACAATTGAGGAAACACCAATGTATTTGGTCTTTGCACATCTTTTGTCCCTTAACTATCAATCTCCTTAGCTACTTAAGCTGTAAATATTCTTGACTATAGGTAAAAAAATCCATAAATTTCTGCCAGCCAATATTCAATGTTCTTTCCCCTTAAATCACCTAAAAGAATGTAACTCTAAAATTGTATATCTTTAAATTAGAGAAAAACATAAATTTTAGTATGTTTTCCTAGACTAAGAGGAAAAAGTTTATTCCTTTGATTTTTACAAGTTGAACATTTCATCGCATCAAAGGATAACCGTTCTGCCTTTTACTTCCTGAATAGATGAAATGCCAGTAGCTTCTTGAGCTTTAGTTAACTAATACGCTTTGTCAAACCAGGCATCATCGCCTTTTCTGTGGAGGACATCTGCGACCTGCTGCCTCCAGGATTCCTTCTGACTTCAGCAGCCTGAGGATTAGACACATGCGCAGGGTTGGTCTCTTTGTGTGTTCACCAGGAAGGGCTTGGCTTCGATTTACACTTCCCAACAGGGGAAAGATCTGGAAAGGCCACGTGTACCTAGAACTAAAAATGTATTATAGACACCATCTCTAAAATAAACAATTGTTTCTCTCTCCTTTGCCTTCTGCGAACCCGTGAATTCCCCCACTGCTCTGCCCCCCACAGCCCAGTTTTGGGTGGCGAGATTAGCAGCGGTGGAATGAGGATCCTTGTCCTTAGGAATCCACGCCTGGGCGAGTGGTGCCAGCTCAGGACTCTGGTGGGAGCGGTACCCTAGGCGCGGGTGGCAGGCGGAGCTCCCTGCCGGAGAAGTGAGTGATGGAGTGCATCTTGCCAGCATCCTCCAGCCCTGCCACCCGGCGGGCAAGGGGGAGGGAGCCGAGCGGGCGCAACGGCCCGCCCCGCCGTCCCTCCCCCTCCTCCGCGCCGGGGAGCCGCGATGGTGCGCTCCGGCCAGCTGTGCGCCGCCGAGTGAGGCGCCAGCCCGTGGGTGCTGCCGGGGGCGGCGGCGCGGAGGGGGGCACAGCTGGGGGCGGCGCTGGCCGCGGTGCTCCCCTCGTGGTCGGGGGCGGAGGTGAAGACCGCTCTCAAGGTGCTGGTGCTGCTGAGCAGATCCGGGCCCGGTACCCTGGTCCGGGTGCTTGGCGGCCCTGCTATCCCCAGCTACCGACTCAGCGTCCGCGCCGGCAGGAGCCTGGGGAAGAATTGGCGGTGGCGCGACTGCCGGCGACGGCCGGCTGGATGCGAGACCTGCGTGGACCGGGCGGTGGACAGCGGTTGACGACTCCAAGAAGCGGATCGCCCAGCAGAGGAGCCCGACCGCGCTGGCCATGGCCTCCAACTTTAACGACATAGTCAAGCAGGGCTACGTGAAAATCCGCAGCAGGAAGCTGGGGGTGAGTGGCTAACTCGGCTTTCTCCTTCTCCGCCGCTCCAGTGGCCCGGCGGCAGCTGGGGATGGGGGCGGGGAGAGATGACCCGCGAGGGTACCAGGGCAGGCGGCCTTCCCCTGTTAGTCCGCTTGTTGCTTGACCTGAGGAGCGCTTGGCACCTGTCTAGGGGACTCTGCACACCAAGGTGAGGGCTCTGGGCCACCTAGAGTCCCCATTCTCAAGTGCGTTGGGCTCATGGTGACCACAGCGAGAAGTCCAATACAACGCAGTGATTGTCAATTCCAAAGATATATGAAGCTGTGGATATTTATTACATTCGGTGCAACCCACAGTGATTTCTCTCAAAAGTGTGCGCCTCCCGGGAGAACTGCTGTGTGCTGACAGCAGGTGCAAAAGGTATTTCTGTATGTGTGTTTATATCCATCATTTCATGGTCTTTTTTCCCCATACACATTTCAAAATCCTCTTTTGATGCCTCTTAAGCGCAGCGCATTCCTTTTTGGCTACAGCAACGACTTTAATGTGCCCTTAATAGTTGCCCACTGGCTGACTACCTCATCCGCTGTTTTCCTGGTCTTGTGTATTTTTGCCTGTGTATAGGCAAGTGAGCGTTGGTGCACCGCTGCAGGAAAGTCCGTGGAGGCAAAGTTTATGGAATCTTACTTTCTCTTTGAGAGATGTTTGGTCTGACTTGGGGAACAAACAGTGTAGACCTGGGCAGGGAATGAGGAGACAAAACTTCTTTGGTGATTCGATAGGTATTTTAAGGGGTTGTACTGACTGTCCTGAAAGACTCGGATATAGATGGAAAGATGGGCGTGCACCTGGAGAGGAACTGTCCAGACCTGATAGCTATGAATGGAAGCAGACTAACTTGCTGGGGGCATCTCCAACTCCAAGACACAGCTGTGTGGCCGCCCAGGTTCACCTGGCCACAAGACGAAAGGAAAATTCAACTCAGTATACAAAAGAGTGGGGTTTCACCCATCGAGGCTGCCTCTTCTTTTCTGAGTTCACGAGTTCCTATTCTTTCTAGAATCCTGGCTTAGAGGTGGAAAGTTCCCGGATTTTCTCCACTGGGTTGGTGAATATTCTAACTTGGAGAAAAGAAATGAATGAAGGAAGGAATCATATTTAAGAACAGAAGGGGGAACTTGTAAATTGAGAAATAGAAACAGTGTGCCTTTGGGTAGTTGCAGAAAATTATAAAGTAGCCAGGAGAAGAAGGTAGATCATCCCGCATTCAGAAGTGGGTTATGGACCCTTTGCTGGAGGCAAGGGTTGGAGGCAGTAAGCTGCCTCTTATGCTTCCTCTCTTGGCATCCTCACTGAAGGCAGACAAGACCAAAGGACACAGAGATCCCTTCTAAAACTTAAGCAGATTACTAACTTCGGGAAGCTTAAAGAGCAAGAAATGCATAGCTAGCTAGAACAGCAAAGTTTATGTCCTCCCACTCCCATCCCCCAGCCCAGTGCCCCACCTGCACAAAAGAGAGAGGGGCAAGGCTTCAAGGGCTTTTCTTAGGTAGAAGATCATGCCTTATTTTTTATTCAGAGATATGACTGACCTGGTAAAAACCTGCAGTTGTCCAAAAAGACAGCAGCCCTTCACCAAGATCCTATCTGTTACCTGGCAGCTGCCAGTCAAAAAAGGCTAGGCAGGATTCCTGCTAGGTGGGGGTCCTCTTTACTTGAACTTTGACTCCCTTTGCTCTGCCAAGGTCTTTTTCCCTATCTATCCCTTCAGTCCTGCTGAACTCTAGTTTTGTGGGAGTCTTCCAAATGTATGAACTAATGGAAGAATTAAGCCCCCTTCCTCATCCCAGTTAAATATGTTCCTACACTCAGTCAAAGAATGCGGAATGAAAACTAGAGGATCCTCTCCCTTCCCCCATTAAGCTATCCAGGGTTACATACTGCAAAACTTCGATATGCAGCCTAGTTTCATGATAAAGCTCAGGGAAAGGCCACCAAGTGCCTCCAGAATAACTAGACATTAAGAACATGTGAAATGTCACTCTAGAACACAATTTCTACCTAGCCATGTGTGCTCATGTATATTTAGAAAAAGAATGTTTTGCTAAACTTACTCTTAATTTAAGCATAAGTATTTTTAAAAGGCAGGCCTCTTTGAAAACATTAATAGTGTGTCTGTAGATAAATTATTTTTATCTTCCACTTCTTTTCTGTGCGAGCAATGTTAACTTTAACATCTAATGTTTGAACTTTTATTTTAAATATTCTTAACCATTTTGGAAAGAATAATTTATTAAAGAAACTTCATAATATATATTTGCTTTCAGATTATTGTTACATTTAAAAAGTTGAAATTGCAAAGCTCTATATTGTTTGTTCTGTTTATAAGTAGGTTCCATGAGAGAGTAGAGCCCTAATTAAAGATAACAGTGTGTATGCTTTGGAATTTAACTGTATCATCAATTTGTGGACTCCAAACTACACACTCTTCCAGACAAACCATTTGTAGTTTTATAGACATATGATACTTCTTGCATGGTTTATAACCAACACTTTATTTCAACATAAAAAGCATTGTAATTGTATTTGTGCTGATATTTGCTATATTATGAAAAGAACTCATACTTTCAGAAATCAAATTTTACAGAATTTTGTTGAAAAGTGGTCAGTGTAGGAGGCCAGTTGCACAATGCATATCTGTGACATAAGGACATAATTCTTGATAAAATGTCCTATTGCATCCCTTATTCTCTCTAAATGAGTACTTAGCATCATTTAGAGGGGAAAAAGTGAAACATTTCTTGGTCTCTGGGTATACTGCTTTCAGGTTGTAATGGCTAGATGGCTTTCACAATGTTCTTTAATTGACAGTCTGCTCATTTGTGCAATCATTTGTAAAGAAAAATTGAGTCAGCTTTGAGGTGTGTCTTGATTCCTCAACAATCATTTTTCCATTTAGAAAGATTATATTATTATTTATTATTACTATTATCTTTATTATTATTTTTGTTGTTTTGTGAAGGTGCTGTGTATCTTAGGACTCAAGCTAGCATCTTAACTGAGTATGACCCTTGATGTTCTGATTCTTCTGCCTCATCTCCAAAATGCTATTATTACAAGCATGTTCTCTTTTGCAATGCTCAGGATTCAGGGTTTGGTACAGGTCAGGCAAGAATTTTAACAAATGAATTACATTCTCAACATATAAATACTATTTTGAGAAATAAATAAAATCATTTCCTCAATATTCACTATGTTTTTAAATGTTTATTAAAACACTGAATTTTATAGGTAAAATTTATACATGTGAATTTTTAATGTATATCATAAATGTTATAGTAATTTATTTAAATACTGTACAACAGTTTCATTGCTTTCACAAACTTGTGTGTGTGTCTGTGTTGTCTTTGACATTTGAATATTTTTAGAACCATCCCCTTCCTCTACAAACTTTTCTATTTGAAAAATTATTGTCATAATCCATAAGCTACTGTGTTTGTTAAGGAAATAATAGTAAAAAATAATAATAAAAATAAAAACATACTAATGAGTTTTATCTCTAAGCCTTGATTGTCCATTTTCTTCTGAATTCTGACAGACTAAATTCAAAATCAATGCACATATTACAAAATATCCAATTTCTTCTTGACTGGGACTAAACTAAAAAACCAGTCACTGAAATCATTATTGATTGGCTATCCTGCTTACTGACTCATCTATCAAAATAAATATAGAAATACAGAAAGATATCATTTGTCACTAATATGCTAGACAAAGTTTAGAACACTACTTTGACTAAATCAAGACTCAGGAATCACATTATTGTTGTCAGAAAATTTCATCCACACAGAGGATTCCTAATTATAAATGATCATGAAACAGAAATTATCCAAAATACAAAATTTCTGAGTGCCATGGTCATAACTACAAGTGAAAACTTCCATATTATTACCTCATGTGATTAGTATTCCTTTATAAAAAATGACACTATAAACGTGTGCCCTGCTTGCAAGCATGTGTAAATAATGTATGTATGAGGATGGAAGAGAGTGTTCCTATTTAACTGCTCTTCCAAAGACCCTGCGTTCAATTCCCAGCATTCACAGGGAGGATCACAATAGTCTGTAACTTAAAAACTAAGGTTACAATACCTTCTTTTCCTCTCCACAGGCACAAGCATACAAGTGGTACACATATATACAGCCCAAATACCCTTATACATAATAAAATAAAATTTAAAAATAATATATAAAACATAAATGAATTTTTAGGTTAAACTTGGAAATATCTTACCATGTATCCCATTACGTATGTGTGCATGTGTCAAATATGAAATGCTTCATGTCCCAAGCAGTTCACAAGAAATATTAAACATATTCATAGGAATAACTATTCTCAAGCACACACACACACCAGAAATAAAGTGTTTTATTTAGAAGTCTATTTCTGTGCATTATTCAAAGCCTAGTAAAGGTTCACATTGGTGTGAATGTACCAAAAGAGTGTCTTGAAGTATTGTGGTGTGTGTGTGTATAACTATGCACAATAAACAAATAAACAAATGTTCACGAAGTCCATATACTTCATCAGATGGCAAATAATGATTTGTGTGATTCTGTGGATATTACAAAGTTATGTTGTATTAAGTCATCACTACTCATAATGAACTCTTTTTGTACTTAGCACATTGGACCAATCATATTTGCTTTCCACATTTGGTTGTTGGAGAAGACAAAATATGGAAAAACATACTTAAGATCTTAGATGCATGCTGGTTTATAAAACTGATTGTAGACACAGTAGTTTCATTTTTCAGTCTACTTTTTTATGGCAAATTGAATTCATCTATCTCCTACCATCTCTCTCTTCTCAATTAAAACCTTGAGACATATATATTTCTGACCTAATGACTCTTACTTATTTCCCATTCTTCAAACATGAGGCTCTCTCTATTATAACGTTTTCATCTGATGGTAAGAAATGGAAGAGTGTAGTTGCTTATGAAAGGCAAGTGGCGAAGCCTAGCC